TCATGTATTTCACAGATGTGAGAACTCACCGGCCCTTTTCTCGCACGAAGTTCATGCATGTGTTTGCCGCCACGTGCCGTGCTTCCACATCGCTTCTGGCCGACGGGTCCACGGTGTTTGCTTCTGCCACGACGGACGGTGCTTCTCCGTGGCCGAGGAACGCTGCTGCACAACGCGTTGATGAATTTGGGCTTCAACCCCTGGACAGCTCCGGAGGACGGCGGTGAGAGGGAAGGATTGGGCGGAGAGGTATGAGGAGTCCCCGTCTCCGAGGTTCAGTGACCGTAAATAGGACCCTTCAGGGGTACCTACCAGCACCGAACCCAACAGGTCTCCGAAATGGAGGTTTGTTAGGCCCTAACAGTTTTCAATTGGTGACCTGTGAAGTCGGTGCTGGTATAGGATAGTCGGGTTCTGACCCACCTCTGCTGGGACGGACGGGGTGAGAGGGAAACGGGGACGGACGTAGGGAGAGAGTGTAAAAAGGAGGTGTCCGGACGGTCGGCCGAGTGCGGGTCAAAGAGTAACTCGGAGATGTGCAACCTAAGCATCATCATCCACTAAAATAGTGGCAGTGGGAGATCTCCAAAGCATGTTAACACGTCTCAAACACTTCCTCTCGACCTTAACATACCTCCAAAGATGCGACCCACAGCACAATCTTGAGCACGATCATGTCGAACACCACCGCATCACCTGCTCTGTAGAGCACGTCTCCCGACCACTGGTCTTTTGCGATTCGCACTGCTTTTTTTTGCGTTCTTGCGCGATTCCGACGACAGGACCATCTGCAGCTCTTGATGTTTCACTTCAGTTTGTCCGTGGAGGCTCTTAAGGACGAGAAACATTCCTCGTCTGCGACCGAGATGGCGAGTCTGAGAGTCTGGGAGTCGGCGACTGGTTGACTGTCTGACGGTGACTTGGTGGGTTCTTCAGTTTGTTTTTTTGGTTGGAATCGGAAAGCATCCCTTATCCATCAGCTCCGAGTAGTCCTGGCAAACATCTCTGAGCCGTAGTCAAAATGGACTCACTCGATGAGTGTGATGTAGACAGTATGTATATGTGCTGTTGTGCAGATTCATCAGCTGCAAGCTCTGGTGAAAGCCTCACGTGAACACCCGCAGACACGCACGGTCTTTCGCTGTCTGCGCCGATGACCGCGGACACGCCGACGCTGGATGCCGCCCGCGAGCCGTCGGGTGATGGATCGTCGGTGCAGGAGGAGTTCTTGCCACCTACCTAGAAAGGCTATATAGGTGGTGACCTTATAGGACCCTTATCCTGGGGTACCTGTCTTCAACCTCTGCTGGTACTCTTCTCGAAACAGCACCGGGTTGGTCAACCACCCTTGCTGTCGAGTTCGCTCTGCTCGCGAGGATCTCTTGGTGAGGATCTCGAGCCCTCCGTGGACCAAGCAGCTCCAATCCAAGGAGCAGTACGATGCAGTCTCCAAGTTTTTTCGCAGTTTCTCAGCTCCAAATTTTGCTGGGCAGTTGGGGGGGCTTTTTTCTCTGAGCTGCACCTTCGGGGGGCTCCTGCTAGTACACCAAAATTGAGCAGCTAGTAGAAGTTATATCTTGGGCCTCTGTCTTCAGTCCCACCGAACTGCATGGTTCCGAGGGTTCTACCTGCATGTCTCTACGAATTCAGGCCAGCACGGATGTGGCGGATCCCGCCACAAAAAGAAAGGAACCGTTGGGGAACCCAATAGTAAAAGGAACCTACTAGCTATGGCCTTCACCCTGTTCTAGCAATGGCCTCCAACCTACAAAAACGCGATGGCCTCCAACCCGGGAACTCTTGGTATGAGTCTTTGGAAGATTTGAACGCCTTGCAGCGAACGAAGCTTTTTCAATCCTGCCGAACGATGGATTCTGCAGTTGTCAACCACCCCGCCGAATACTGTAGAAAGCCAGCCCAAAGGGTTTTTTCGAGAACTCCTAACCTCCTGGACCTTCAAGGGGTGTCCAATGGAGGTCCCTTAGTAGTGTAGGGGCTTCCATTGGAGACCCCTTTGAAGGTGCTGGCTCCTAACTTCTCCCCTTGCGATGTCGGTGCACCACCGAGTTGCACAGGCATTTCTTCAGCCCACCCGACCGGAAATCGTCGAGCTCGGTCGAGAAACTCACGCACACCGTACGAGTCTTCAGGCCGTGCACGAGGCCAGGTGCGTCCTCCGGGTGGGAAGGCGAAAACAGAGCGTGACGCGACGCGCGACGCACGCGTCTCTGGGGCCACATGGGCTGTCAGACCAAGACTTGAAGAAGCTGTGTTTTTGGCCACTCGAGTCTGACTTTGGGGGTGAATTTCTAGACTTTCGAGTCTGAGCAGTCGATTGATGCAGCTACACTTGAATGGTAGTGTGATAGCCTAATCAGCTCCTGTTTGCTAAGGGTGTAGCAGCACGAACAGCCAGGTGGCCAAGGTGGTGTGCTAGGCCATAGGTTTCACAAGTGCAGCTGGGCTCTTTGGCAGGGGTTGTAGCGCGCCATGTGTGTGATCAATCATGCTTGCCAATGTCCCATGACTACACGTCATCGATGGGTGTCCCATGTCTACTGCCTGTCAGGGTGGAAATAATGGGGTGTCCCATTCCCTGAAGATCCCTGAAGTAACCTCATTGTAGAGGAATGCACCACCTGTTGTAGAGGCACCACCTGTTGACACCACCTGTTGATGGCACCACCAACCTTAGTTGATGGCACCACCTGTTTGCAGAGGAAAATGGTCATCCACATGGACCACCCTCTCTTCTAACATCGATGGCATCTCCTCGTCCTCCCATCCAGTCAGTGGACAACCTTGAGCCGGATTCATTTTCCCACTCAAAAAGACAAAGGCGCCATGCCAGGAGCCAGATGGCAGGGGTTGTTTTTAGATGTTTTTAGTCCCTAACATCCTTATCCACCAGGCAAGCACCCAGTTGAAAGTGAGTGGACCTCAGGTGGAGAGACACCGAGCGCCGGCGGTCAAAGCGGCGCTCGGTACCCGCTCCTCGAGAGCCGGAACTTCCACCGGATCCTCACCGAAGAGGTGCGGCGCTGTGGGTGTAAGAGGTGCGGCACGAAGCACCCCGACGAAACCACCGATGGCCGGACATATACGATACTTCCTACTACTTCGAGCGATGGCCGAAACCACCGTGTTATAGTAGCTTCCTATATATACTTTATACGTGTTGGACTTCAGAACTGAAGTCCAGTTCGTTTTGGGGCGAGTTCAGGGGGAGTTCGGGATGTTGCGGTCGGTTGGGACCGGTAGTTCGGTACCGGAACGGTTTTACGGCGAAACACGATCTATGTTGAACGCCTAAGAGGTAGCAACCAGTTTTATAGTTTGTTGACTCCAGCTTCTTGCTACTATATAGCAGTAGTGCCCTAGATGCTACTAGATGCTACCTTCGTAGCGTCCGACCGCTCCGTTCGTAGTAATGCCCTTTGCTACTACTCGTAGCGATGCACTTGCTACTGAATACTTGGACTTCTGTGCTCAGCCGGAATTTCGGTTTCGTGATCGATGGAAGGTTTTCAGCGGCTCAGCGGTCGTCTTCGTGCCACAGACAGCATGAAAGAGAAAACATGGTAACTGGACCCATCTTTCTTGGAGTGGTTCTACTGCGTTTTGGCCGCTACGAACATGGGACCATCACTGTGGCCGCTACGAAGGTCACAAGGGCATTGCTAGTAGCTACAGTAGTAGAAGCTACGTTCACGTAGCGATGCACTCGTCACTAGTTACAAACGTCGCTTCTTGTCACCTTCATTCCACCTTTTCTTCACCGAGTTTGCAGACTTCACCCAAAGGAGTGGACTGAGTCCACCGCGCCGAACCAAAAAGGACCTCTTCCAACCGCCGCAAGCCGTCGCGCTCGCCCTCTCGCTCGTCTTATCGCGGCACGGTCTCCACGGCGCTGCGGCTCCAGGTCTCCCAGCACCTGAGCCCCGCGGTCTTACGGGTGCTGGGCGTGGCGCGGGGCATCCAGATCTGCCAGGCGGGTCGGTACCCGACTCCCGACTCGTTCGTCTTGGTGGCGGAACAACGGCTTCACCCGAAGCACCTGCCGTGAGGAGAAGTTTGGAGGTGTTTTGGGGGGTAGGAGAAGGGTTCTTTTCCGATGCTGCGCGTTGATGGTGAACATGCTCACAGTGACCACTGACCCGAACGGGCCATCCGAACGGCATGCGCAACCGGAGATGGGGGGACTCGGAGCCCGACCCGCCAGCAACTTCCAGAATGGGAACGTGACCTGACTTTGTAGTGTAAAAACCAGTAAAAAACCGTGGTTTGGGATGACCCGGCGAAATGAACGGGCCAGGAATCCTAGGGACCGTGCGACTGGACCAGCGCTTGGACGAGCGCGTGAGAGAGCTTCTTCACGTTGGTCAACTGGTCCAATAAGCCTGAACACCTCTTCAGGTGCCATTGCACATGGCGCCACACCGATCGACCACCTCCCAAATCGGTTTCGATCTGACCCACCGGGGACCGTGTTGGGAACAAAACCCAAACGCGCCAAACGAAGGGGTGCATCCCCCCGCTGCAAGCGAGCTGTGCCAAGACGTCTCAGATGACGAGTGGCCGACGAAGCAACGTCCTCGACCTCCCCAGGAGGATCCGCGCGCGCCCTTTCGCGCGGCTCGACAGCTGCCGGACGCGCTGTTCGCCGATCTGGAGCGCAACGCCTATCGGGCACCTTGGAGGGAGCCGGGAGAATAGAGCGGAAGGGATAGCTGATATATAAAAATACATATGCTGCATTCATTTGCAGCAAAACAAGCATCGATAGATCCAGTTCAATCTCTGTTTTTCTTACGAGCTAAGGAAGCAATGGCATGGTGGGATTTCTCCCTCGCTTTTTACTGTTCGACACGGCATCCGAACCTCTTTTTGCTCCTCACTGCGAGGTCTTGGGATGCCAAATGCATTGCCTGAGGAGGAGCTTTCGACAAGAGGCCCACTTGTCGACACGTGGAGGGCGAACGGAAGGTCTTGGGTGCGCTATAGCCCAGACACTCCATGTATGCCATATATGCCTACATTGGGGTGGTTTTGGGTGCGCTATAGCTGAACTCAGCGGTTGAGGGTTAGTCCACAAACCTGCCTGCCTGCGATCCTGCCTGGTACGCAGGCTGGTACGTGGGTCGGGCTGCGCCCTCCGCCCTTTGAGCGCCAGGTGAGGGTGGTGGACATGCTTCAATCCGATGGACCTTGTCCCTGCAAGATGGTGGCCAGCTGTTCCGACAGCCACTGGGCATGGATCGGCCATCCGCCACCGCGCGCTGACAGCGGACGGGTCTGTGAAGCACAGATGGAAGGCTGACCAGCGGAGGAAGGCTGACCAGCTGAAGTCGAAAACCCCCCGTCCTCGAACTTGACCGTAGCACTCAATTGCTTTGATTTCGATCTGCCGGCAGTGTCGACTCTCATCCCGCATCAGCTGCATCCGTACCTCCACTTTTCTCGGCGTCGCCCTCATGGTGGAAACATGGCTGATCATGGGTCGCCTGACCAAACCAATGGGCCGGAATGGACGTGTAAGACCCCCGTAGTGGGAGCCCTAGGACCTTAGGACCCCCCGAAAAAAGACATCGGAGACTTTGGTGTGAAAAGCGCGCCAGCGAGTGGCTGGGTGTGAGTGAAAAGCACTGGCTTTCCTTCCAGCCACCCAACAAATGTCAAGTTGAAGCCAAATCTCAAACTCTTCCACACACGGAAACCACCTGAAAACCCTGGGCTCCCAGGCCTTTACGAGCACTGCAAAGCCAATGCATTGCCTTCACGCAGCGCCGTGGCGGATCTCAGGTGATTCCGTTTTCACCGGCACCTCCCTTTCACAGACAACGTCTACCCTAGGCTTCCTGGCCCACCATTAATTCAATAGGCTGAATCCCGAATCAACTAAGGATTTTACACTACAAAAACCAGGTCCTTCCCATTCTTTAAAATGGTCGAACGGAAGCCTACGGGTCTACTTGTAGACCGTCAGTCATGGTGGTCACCACAAAATGGTCAAGCTCCAGTCACCGTGCCGTACCCGCGGCCCTCCGAAGCCTTTAAGCAGACCTCCCGGCCCACCGGTCAAGCGGTCCCGGGCGGCCCGGACCGCTCCGACCTTCGGGCGGTCCGTTGAAACCAACCGGATCCGTCCGTCTGACGTCGGTCGGTCTGAGGTTTTGGAGGGATTTCCACAGGTCGTTTTTGGGGTGCTTGGCCGTCGATGACATCATTCCAGGTCTGGTTCAAGGGTATCTAGGCACTTCCCCCAATACGAAATTGGCGGGGTATCTTGACGTCGACCCCCTCGATGATTTACCGATTTCCACGTCGAGGCGCCACGGGCCGGTGGATGGCGCGATGTTGGCTGCACTGTGCCAAAGGATGGCCTCGCGAGGCGGTGGGGAGGAGTCAGACGAACCGAGCGTGGTCGTGGTTCGGGTGAACGACCCGAAAAGCAAACCCAGGAGACCGTCAGCTGGCGAGGTTCGAGATCATAGTCGTAGTAGTAGTCGTAGTCGTAGTGGCAGTGGTGTAACCGGGCGAGACGTTTTGGGGCATCTTTGGCGACCTTGGGAACATTCCATTGCGCTTTGGAACCGTTTCGTCTCGGATGAACGCCCGGCAGCTCGGCTGACGGTTTCGCTGAGCCGCGCGAGCAGCGGACGTGTCCGGACGTCGCGCAGGCGACCTACGACCCGGACACGGCACAGATCATCGCGGAGGAGTTCGTCGCACACAAGTGGCCCAGAAGAAACTGGACGACGGATGGCCCGGTTGAGAGTTTTGGCGTAGAGTTACTCTGGCGGCCAGACATGCTTACATGATGAACAATTCGGACTCACACCGGAGACTCCGGAGACTAACAGATGCCGGTGGGAAGCCTTCTTAAGCATAGGCTGAAGGGAGAAACCAAGTGAGAAACCGCCCTATTGAGATCTTTTGCATCAGAGAACAGTTTGAGATGTATATAGATCCCAGACACGACACGTCCTGCGGACTGCCATGTCGGACTGCCGATCCAGCCAGATCCCCCTGGCCGTTTGGTTTTTCAGCTCGGCAGTCGACGTGTCGCGGTTGGGGATGGCTTGGATGGACGGACATGTGCGACAACGGCTCGGTGAAGAGGAACGCGGGCGGTTGGGCGTTTGGAGATCCTGCCGAAGAGAGGGGAACACGGTGGGGAACACCGTGGGGAACATCGTGTCATCCCTGTTGGGCTACGAAGAAAACACACTAAGGAGATGCTCTTTCAGTACGAAAAAGAAAGAAGGAAGGTGAGACGGCACCCTGTTCTAAAGGACCCCTCGCCTTCCCTTTGTGTCTTTTTTTTCCCTCTGGGCATTGGGCTGGTTCGCCTTCCCTTTGGGCCCTTGGATCATCCCATCTGTCGAACAAACACACCTACCGCCGTTGCCTCGCCTTTGCCATCGCGACTTGCCAGGTTTGAGGTGACCGACTTCACGATGAAAGTCCTGGTCGATTTGAGTCTCAGCTCAGAATCCTCAGTTGAGTAGCTATCAACTGTGCATGGAGCCAACCCCCCCGCACCATGCACGTTGACACGAGGTGGCTTTAGGTGGAAATGCAGCTCTTTCTTGGATGTACCCGTGAGAAAGTCCAGAGGCAGAGTTTCTCTAAATGAGACTGGTGGTGGTGATTTGGTCCTACAGCGGGTGACGAGTTTTGTTTGGAGATTGGTGACGGCGTTGTCATGTTAGTGGGTAAAATTGAGTAGCATACTGTGACTTTGCCCTGCACTTGGGAGTTCCTGTTGCCTTGCACGTGGCCCGGCACAATCTACACATCTTCGCAAATGTCACTTCGTCTATGCGGTTCTTCGCCTGGTCCGATGATACCTTTCTGGGAACACTCGATCAGTTCAAGAATGTTCAATCATTGTACATAGAGAGTCAGCTCCCAGTCCCCAACTACCCCCCCAAATATACTCACTCCATAGTTCTCTCCACCAGGAGTCACAAGACGGGGTGGTGTTTAGTCCCTAGGTGAGTGGAGTATCTGGGCACCCCGAACCTCCATGGATCGCACCCCGTCGAACGTGACTGCTGGCATACGAATTTTCGTCGTTTTTCCACTCAGGAAGACGTTTTTCCTCCGTATTTTTTGGCGAATTCGAATCCAAAGCACAATGTCAGGACCAATCTGGGCTACGAAGAGGGCCCCATGCTCTTCCTCAATGCCGTGAATCGACATCTGGAGCGAATACTCGACGAATACGTCCTACGTCCTTCGTCAGTTAGCACAACAAGTCAAACACATGTCGACATTCTTCGTGAGTGTTTTCAATCCAAACATCCAAGCAAGACCATGCCCTCGTCTCCTCGATAGTTCTCCTCAACAGTGCCCAGCTCCGTTCGTTCGCCACGTCCAGGACATCTCCTCCGGCTTGGAACATTTGCTTCTTCGACGGCAAATCGGTCGACCGGGGCCGTATGTGCGACCCGAAGGTGCTGGGTGGCAGGACGATGCGCGCTGAACCACCCGGGCGACATGCCGAAGATGGATCGACACTCTAATGCATAGACTGTTAGATGAGGCTTTTCGGATCCCCCCCCCACGATTCCCCAGGCCTCTACGCTTCTACACAGACGATGTCCAGGGGGATAAGCCAGTTCCTCAAGCCGTGGTTGTTTGTGTTCTGGGCACTGCCCGAATTGGCTGCAGGACTCAGCCGTCGCGTGGTGAGATCGGTTTCAGATCCAGCACCAAGGAGGGAACAGGTGGTGACCGACATTGTGGTATTTTCCGACGTGTTGTCCATCCCATCCCGAACGAGTTTGTGCTGGATTGGCTTTATTCTCTCTCCCAAGGACGTGCCTTTGGAACATGATCCGAACCAGGCCGATCGGGCTCGAGCGATGGTGAGGAGCCAAGCGAAAGGCTGAGCTGCTCAGCTACACTGTTTCCCAAGGGTTTTTTTGAAAGGCGTGGAAACCCTCGGTTCCTTCCACGTTCAGGCTTCGATCGAAGGCTCTTCCAGCTTCCAGCCTCCCAAAAACCATCTGACTCGAGGCTCCACTGTGCGGCGCAGCAGTGTCGAAGCTCCCTGGTGCGTTTCGCACTGCGGCTGGGCGCTGAGGCGGCGGCGAAACCCGCTTCCGCTCCCACTCGCCGCGTGGGGGGCGAAGGGTTTTCCACCGAAAGAAGCCATCCTCATAGGGGGTGCCCGGTGGCTGGATGGTGATGTGGTCGGATGGGAGCGGATGGTCGGTGAGGCACCCGCCCTGCTTCTTTTTTTTGCTGGCCAGTCCGGAGGGCGTGGAAGGCATCGGACCAAAAGCTGAGCATTTTCCAAGCGAAACGCTTCAATTGGTGAGGTCCATTGGTGACCTTGACCATTCCTTTGCGGAAAAAAGCGGTCGAACATGTGGGAAAAGAGCCTCAGTTAGCTAAGCAAAGGCAAACAACATTGCTAGGACTGTACAAACCAGGATTGTAACTGTAAACTCCCCCCAGACGGACGTGGATTGTAAACCATCTTCAGCTTCCCTGGGTGGGGTTAAACTATACTCGTTGGAGTCTCACAGCCTGTCCAGACAGCTGGTTGCTGGATCCACGATCGGTACACGATCGGTCGCAGGTGTCCGCCCCAAGCTTGTCCCTGGCAGCGGGCGCTGGTGGGGGCACCTGTGCACCGGTCGACCGGTGGTGTCCCGTGAGTCACCAGTGTCTTACGGCGAACCACCGGAAACACCTAGAACCTGCAAAGGAGAAAGCGAAGAAAGAAAGGTGCGATTGGTTTGGAGAGGGCAAGGAATTATCCTTTACTATAAACACGAACACATCATGTGTGTGTGTTTTTCCCCACATCTTAGTGTGGGGTTCTTCTTTTCTATCTCTCATCCCGCCTCCCGCTGCCGCCGCCGCCGCCCGTCACAAACAACACAGAGATCACACACACAGAGATCACACACACACCGAGACCACACATACCGAGACAACACACACAGAGATCACACACACACACAGATCACACACACAGAGATCACACACACAGAGATCACACACACAGAGATCACACACACCGAGACCACAACACAGAGATCACACACACAGAGATCACACACACCGAGACCACACATACCGAGACAACACGCACAGAGATCACACACACCTGGCTCCGTTAGAGGGTCTGGTGGTTGCTTGGTCGGCGCTGGTCGGCTCTGGTCGGGTGTGGGCGCCGGCGACGCTGTCCCATTGTAAATCGCAGTAGAGCTGGCTCCGTCAGAGGGTTTGGTGGTTGCTTGGTCGGCGCTGGTCGGCTCTGGTCGGCTCTGGTCGGGTGTGGGCGCCGGCGACGCTGTCCCATTG